ACAAGGCATCTCTTTTCCTCTCTCTCTCTCTCCTGACAGCCCGTCAGTATCAGGGTTAGTCAAAATGAATCCCTTGGCGGTTCTAATTTACCGTTTTGTCTTCTCTTTGCAATGCTTAATCGATTTGAAACCAAGTCTAACGTAGCTTAAACTTAACGTTAGCTTTCTAGCTAACACAACAAATGCACGCACCTTTCTCTGTGAGTTTTTTTGTAGTGACGAATTAAGTTGGATGTTGTGGTGGTCGTGTCACTGATCTTTATGCTGCAGACCCTGCATACCGCTGTTCTCTTCTTATTACAGTCATCGACAAAATAATCCTTGAATCCAAACTTCACTATTTTTGGAGTAAAGCTAGCCGCTGCCATGTTAACTGAGACTCCTGCCTTCTAGTGGGTTGCCAAGGTTTGCGCGCATGACGCTATAATCACCCGTTTTTCGAAAAAACTAAACATAATATCTCACTACAAAAAAGCAAATATTTAATTTTAAACAGTCAAGTCCTTTCAAGTCATCTGTCTCAAGCTTAAGTCAAGTCTCAAGTCATGAATACCAAGTCAAAGTCAAGTCAAGTGCAGAAATATGCGACGCGAGTCAAGTCATGTGACTCGAGTCCCCACCTCTGGTACTTTGTACATATATACAAATTGTCCTCACAGAATGAACCACAATGACTTTAGTGATCCTCTGAGCACAACCAACTGGCCAGTGTTTCCACTTATCCTGTCAAAAATATTCCATACTCTCAAATGGTTTGAATCGTGCACTCTTTATAAACTTTACAGCACTTTTCTTCTTCAGTGCTTGAGTTGGTCATTGCTGCCGAACCGAAATGTCGTGAAATGCTCAAGAATGTGTATTGTTTAACTGCATGCGCACTAGAATGATAAGGATATACAAAAAGAAAACAGGAGACACTTTCAAAAGGATTGTTGCATACAGTGGTGATCAAAACCTCCACAGCACCTTTAAGTAGAGGGCGGTTTACCTCTTTTCCATTTAGTTGCCAGTGAGCATTTCTCAGCTTGGATCCTCCGTCCAATGGCTGGGTGGCTGCTCTGCAGAGTCGCACACAGGTGGAGCAGGTTGACCATCATCGTGTTGCTAGGAGACGAACACAAACACAGTGAGCGAGAGTAGAGTGATGACCTCGTGAAAACAAGGATGGTAAAAGTACCGGTGCTTAAAAAAAACTGGATGTGTACCACAGACTCTAAAGCCATCATCATAAGCAAAGGTTATCACAATGGTTCACTTACATAGGTTCATTCAAGGGTATATCACTTCAGAATCAAAAACAGAATCAGGTCTGTTGTCAGGTAGGTTTACACGAGTTGCCTTGTTGTATATGGTGCATACATAAACACAGTGAAATAGGATCAATCGGAAGAAAAGGACCAACAAATAAAACCATTATAAAAATCTATATAAAAACTTTTATAGCAATGAAATAAAGTGAAATATGTACAAGTAATATAGATATACCAACAAATGATGTACAGTTTAATATGACAAAATGTAAGCAAATTAGAATAAAATCAAATATGTGCAGAAATGAAAAGAGGTAGCTCTGAGTACGATGGGTAAAATTCAGAGGGTTGTGCAGGATTGACAGTTTTAAAATGAACAAGTTATTGTTTTCATCATGTGAACCCCTGAGTTAGTGACTAACTGTTAGTTACCAACTCAGGGCCTGTGGTCACATAGCCCCTTTTTCTGAGCCCAGCAGCGTGTTTTTGTCCAGAGCTCGACTTATTTGGTGAGCGCTTCGAGATGATAATATTTCAAATATTCAGAAAGAAACTGATAAAGTCACTGTAGAAAATGGACAGAAGCTTGAATTTGGCTGTGTCCTTCAGACAGGAACTATCTTCACAAAGACCTAGAGATCATGTGTTTGAGCGGATCAGCCGGGTGGACTTCTATCTCCGTTTGGGATCGTTCTTCTCGCTCTACGGCTGTCAGACTGAAGCTCATTCATACAAAGTGTGAGAGCAACAATCTTCTGGTTGGTGTTCAAGGTGAAGATAAATGTCATACAAATATTTAGTAGCACAAATAGATAATAAAAAGCAAGGGGGCAAAATACATACAGACAATGATAAATTGGGGTTTGCTTTGATACATTTGGATTTATGGATATAAAATGTACAAAGAATAACAATACTATTGACTAAAAGGTTATGGATAGGTTTGTCTAAAGTAAGTCCATAAATGATGTTGTTTTGAAAAAAATTATTGGTAAATCACAGACGGATTACACCGTTTTAAATTGGGGAGTTACTGGGAATTTTAAATAATTACTTCTTAATATGTAAATAGGGCTTTTTGAAAAGTTTTGAGAGATGGCATTTCGGACAAATTAGGGAATGCGATTTTAATTAAAAATATTTGTAGTTGTTTTATTTGGGATTAATTTGGCCAAAGTTACAGCCTCCAACAAAAAAATTATTTGCTGTAGATTTTCTATTCAAAAAAAGTATATAGTTATTTTGGAATACTTTGTTATAAAAAAAGCTGTATTCCGTGTCAGTACATCAAACATGTACTTAAGAGTGGTTGATGTACTTCTTGACCGGACATTAATCGCTGAATGTTCGTCGTTGTCCTGACACACTACCTGTATCTCTCTTTGCCGGGCCGCTCCTCTGTGGTGTCCCAGAAGCGGGCGTGTTTGATGGCATTCTGCACACGTTCATCCTGATCTGGGATCTGATTGGCAGGATTCTCTGACAATGAGAGGAGCTGAGGCGGCAGACTGGGGATCAGTTTGGTTTTGGTCAACCACAGAGCCTGAAGCACCCCTGAGACAGAAAGAGGAGGATTTCAAGAGACGTGACATTTTGAAGTATTATTACAATTATTTCAAATGTTATCAAAATGCAATTAGTAGTTTTTTTTATTCTGACTACAAGAGGATGTTCAGTAAGAGTTTTTGTGTAATTTAGCAGTTAATTAAATGTTTTATTATCAGCGAAGCAATACAGTTCTGAAAAATGAAAGAACTCTGTATATTAATAATCCTCCAAAAAGCACTTGAACTACCCTGTATGTGTCAGTACATTTACTCAAGTACTGTACTTAAGTACAATTTTGATGGGACTTGTACTTTACTTCAGCATTTCCATTTGATTTTTTCAGAGGTTAATTGTGTACTTTTACTCCACTACATGTATTTAATACCTTTAGTTACTTTACAGATCTTGATTAATGATGTGAAATATAATCAAGTTTTAATTCAGACTTTAGTTCCACCTGGAGTCAATTCACAAGCTACCCTGCAGTATACAAAGTCATTCAGACTAGCTGCACCTTTACCAGCTTTGAGAACACTTTAAAGATCAATCATTATAAAACATATCATATATATTATTCTGAAATGGACCAATCTGCACAATGACTACTTTTACTTTTGGTACTTTAAGTATTTAGTCGCTAATTCTTTTTTACTTTTACTTGAGTGTCATTTTGATTGCTGGACTATAACTTCTTACAGAGTATTCCTACACTCTGGTATTTCTACTTTAACTCAAGTACAAGATCAGAGTACTTCTTTCACCTCTGCTTATTTGTACACACAACAGTGTACTTCTTGTGTAATACAGTAATGAAGTGAGGATCCTACCCTCCAGAGCGCTGGTCCTCTGGTTGAACACAAAGCACGAACTGTCTTTGAACAGCGGCATCTCGTGAGCCGGGGGGGACCGGTAGTGACCCGGGTCCTTGTAGCTCCTCTCCCACTGCGGCTGGAAAGGCTTGGACAGTCCTGGCACATAGTGCATCTTCTCCCCGTAGGTGACTGCCTCCAGCCCGGGTATCTCCACTCTCTCCCGGGGTGTGCGCACAGGCCGGACCTTGGCTGTCAGACAGCGGCTGATGGAGAGGTGTCTCCGGGCCTGAAAGTGGCTTCCTCCTCCATGTGTGGACAACCGGGACAAGTCCTTCAGGAGAACGGTTTGAGAGAACAGCGGAGCCACCACTTTCAGACACTGAGCCGTTTCCGGAAACATATTGGCGCCTAATGTAATTTCTACAGAGTTTTTAAGATGTAAGCTGTAATTCTGACATAAGTCATTGCCTGTAAATGCTGCTGCAGGGCGCCGCCATGTTGGATTTCTTCTTCTCTTGCTTTTGGCGGATTGCAAACAACTTAAAAGGTGCATACCGCCACCTACTGTACATTAGTATGAATCATCACATCATTCCAACTCTTTAACCTATGTTCTAATAAAAATAAAAATAAAAATCAATCAATAAAACCATTAAATAAATTAAACAAATCTATATTCTTTCCTGACCTAATGTTAAATTCTTTTTCCTACCCCAGTTTCACTCAAGAATTTAAACAGTGCCTTTCTGGTAGCTTTTACTCCCTCTCCTTTTGTTCCCAAAACACCAACCACACTCCATTCCCTCTCTGCCTCTAAGACTTTAGCATAAAGTCTCTCTCTCTCTCTCTCTCTCTCTCTCTCTCTCTCTCTCTCTCTCTCTCTCTCTCTCTCTCTCTCTCTCTCTAAACACCACTGCATATTTACAACTGTTACACATGCTGATGTAACGCAAATGTTTCCAACCTTGGTTTGGGGGAAATTTCGAGGCTGCACATGGGTAGACTTCGCGTCCTTCAAATCCCCACAATGCTTTGCGCACGGACCAATTTCAAAAACCCTTGCGGAGAATGGCTGAACTGACGCAGCACACATTTAAATGTAAGTATGTAGTGGCGTAGAACATGTGTTGGTAAATGTGTTACTTTGTTACATTTGTTTGTTACCACCATAAATGTGTTCCGCAAATGTTTCCAACTTGGGATCAATAAAGTATATCTTATCTTAAGATGATCGATGGCTACTGCCATATTTGCAAAATGTGCCTCTGAACCTTGACAAGTGCATGTTTCAGGCTTATCAATTAACAACAGGAGGGGTCACAAACATAAGACCAGCTGTTAAATAAAGCTCTTCTGACCTTAGCTGGCATGTGGGTATATATTAATGCTGCCCATGATGGGCACAAGCAATTTTCACCCATTTATTAATGATATGTTTTAAATTTGAGTGTTTCCTATCCCCTAAACCTCCAGGGATGTACATAGTTGTAAATATGCAGTGGTGTTTATTTGTAAATCATTTAGTATAATCACACAAATGTTGTGTTTTATATTTAATAATTCTGTGTTCTTTATTTATTGATTGTTCAATACCTGACAAGGCCGGAGATGAAAAACTTGGGTCGCAGGTTCCTCAACAGTGCATCACAAGACATCTATCAATATTTGTGTATACCTCCACCATTAAACTGTCATATTCCGCAAATTTCTTATACTATCTACATACATCTTATATAAGAGTATAATACATATGTATAATGTCAGTTAAAATAAGTGCTTCAACATAGTTAACATTGCTGGAGGTATACACAAAGTTTTTCATTCATTGCATAACTACACCGTTTGTGTATGTCAATAAACCTTAGAAAATCTTGAAATCTTGAAAGGGATGTGCAAAATAGTCATTATACACAGTCTTTTATGAACTATTAGTAGAGAATAACGAGTAATGAATATACTTTATAGGGATCCTATTAATATCTAATAATAAAAATAATGAAATTCAATAACATGCTTTAACCACTAGGTGTCCCTTTATATCAGGAGTGCACGTTTATGGTGTAAATACAGCCTATCTACCAATTGGATCAAATATAAAAGTCAGCCGAATTAGTGTTGATACTGTGAGGAGATGTATTGTGTGAAAATAAATGTAAGATGTTGTTTAATTGCTGATATATTTATGATCCACGTCACGTTTTCAGTGTTGGCGGCAGTTCCTCATGTTTGTCTAGAAGTCTTCTCATCAAGGCTCTATAAATAGAGAATTACAGCAGATATGTAACATTTAATGCAGCCGAACCGTGTATTACAATGCCGTTATGTGATGACCTCAAAAGAGAAAAGCA